CTCGTCGGGGATTTTTAAGGTTGACATTTCCTGCCAACGGAAATAAATATCTCGCGCACGTATGCTTACACTTTTGTGTCGGTGAATACATTTGAGGAGAATTTATCGCGATCTCTGCTCCTCTATATTATTTTGGCACGATATGTTAATTATCAAATAATAAACAGAAAGGAAGATAAATATACTCGTCGTTCGATTTTCTTTTTGTGGAGAGCTCAATATGTCTTTGATAGTAAACATTATTGCATTTAAATAAGGATAAATAACGGATATTTGTTGTAATATATTTGTTATAATTTTCGTCGCGAAAATATAAGTTGCGAATGTGTACTTCTCAATTAAGCTGTTGTTACTTCAACAAATCAAAATTTTATTTCTATTTTAAATCTCAGTTTTTCAAAGTATGAAATTTTACACTTACTCAGACAGTACAAATTACTAAAAGATGTCTTAAAGATATCCAAAATATGTCTAAAAAAAAAATAGGACGTCTTCTAGTAACCTTTAATACATATTTCAGTAGATTTTACTATTTGGGTACTTTAATATTTGGAATAGTTAAATCTATCTCTTTTGATTCTACTTATATTGATTTTATTTAAAGTTGTTCAGTTCTGCTTTGGTTTGATGTATTTTTATTATTTCAAAGTTCTTTTTACAATCTTTCAGTAGAAAATTGTCTTTTCACTATTTATTTAAGACACATAATAAGAATTTAATATAATTAAAATCATAATCCTCTATAATTTCTAAACGTTAAAAAGTTAAGGTTAAAAGCAGAAGCAAAATTTCACCTCTCTGAAACTGGCAGGACTAAATCGGCAAAACCTACTATTGGATTATTTAGTACCCATTTTGTACTAATTTGTACTATTAATAAAAATTTTGTACTACATACCATTTCAAAAAAAATCGTAGCGCTGTTAGTTTCATATAAAGCCAGCAGGACCATAACAAAAAAAAACATATATTTCATTTTCCTTTAGTCTTCGTATGAAATTAGTAACGCTACGATTTTATTTTGAAACGGCACGTAGTATAAAATTTTTAATGGTACAAATTAATGGTACAAATTAGTACAAAATAAATACTAAATAATCTAATAATTACGGTTTGATTTTACCGATTTGGTCCTGCTAGCTTCAAGAAGATAAAAATTTCAATTCTGGATAGCAGGCGAAAATCACATTTGTACGTCTACATGTACATAACACGCGTAATTGCTATCTCATGTTCTCTTTTCGCGGGACCTCGTGAATTTTTCGATCCTTGCACTCATTTCCTTTCGAAAAAAGCACTCGAAGCATTCACATTTAGAGAACGATAAATAATTAATCGAGATCGCAGTCGTTGCAGCACTACGCGAACGTATCAAGCGCCGCTTTGAAGCTGAAGAACTGACGTTCGCACTTAGTTTCTGTCAAACGAAATCTCGCACGATATATTGGATTATTTAGCACCGATATATTGGATTATTTAGTACAACTCCTCATTCTAAAATTGCAGAACTATACAAAAATCTTACGAGGCAAAGATAAGAAAAGAGCTCTATGAATTTATGAATTTAATATTAGAAAAATTTAAAGGCAATATAAAATATAATAAAAATCCATAATATTTATTATAAATAATGTTCTATAAATTTAATACAACAAAATTATAAAAAAGTATAAATATAATTCTTTAAAATATTATAAACATAAATTGAACTTTGCAGTTGTATAATAAAATAAAGACTTTTTTGACCCAATTATTATGTGTAAAGAATTAAAATTATAATTTTTTATTATATTCAGTCTTTTGTAAGAAACTTGTATGTATTGAAACAAGTGTGTGTATGTATATTATTAATAAGCACTAAACATATCTATTATTAAGTTTATCAACAAATGTTAAGAGGCAAATTGCAAAATCTGGCTCTGTATCAATAATAATTTTTGTATGAAGAATAATAAGAGATAAGAAAATCGAGTCAAACTCATAAAAATATTAGTTCTCCGAGTCAAGATTATTGAAGTTTTGAATAGTTTGTTATTTTTAGATGAAATGGTTACACTAAAAATAATAATTTAAGCTTAAAAACAACAATTTTATTTTAAAATTAATTACGTATTTTATTTTAGTATTATAAAACGAAAAAGTAACGAATCGTTATTTTCTTGATAACAGTAACAAGTTACTTTTTAAGATTAATAACAATAATGAGTATAATAATAACTTTTTATGAAAAATAACGGTTACGCGTTATTTTCTTTAAGAAAGGCTCCCAACTGATAACATATCGTTCAGTTTTATTTATTCACGATGGAAAATATTAATACAAAATTTCGCGAGGCTCAAAGATTTACTTTATTACTATTATATCAGTTTTTTGTATCTTTTAACTTATTCCGATTTTAATAGAACTCAAGAAAAAGTGTCTGTGTTCTAAAAGGACTATTTTACGATTTTGTATTTACTGGTCTCAAGATAAATATGAAAAAAGCGCGTGAACAACATACCTCTCGAGCCATCTTTAAACTCACGGTCTCCCCTACGATTTCATTAAAAATTTTATTTATCAAAATTTCTCTTAACAAACAATGAAGGGGTACCATTAAATGTAAATTATAAATACAATTTCCATACAAAAAATAGAAGATAGTTACGTATTAATTGAAATATTAGAGCTTTTAACACTTGGAACCTTAATGTGATACATTCTCCGAGAGGAAAGCCCTTGCGTGACCCTGTAAAATTGATTAAAATTTTACTGCTAAAAATGAATTCATTTGTTACTTTTTATTATTGCCGCTACGTCAGACGATTATCATTTATAATGTTTGGAGATCAGTTATCACAGAAGTGTGCAGAGGAAGATTATTTACGCAAACAAAATCTTTTTACTTGTAGTAAAATCTTCGAGCTGGAAAGAGAACGTTAGCCGTTAATGGGTTAGGAAGATTCCGCAGAGTTACTTTTATGGCTAGTCAGATCCCACTGGCGATCCAGGACGTGGACGGCGGCAAATTGCGCGTATTCAGGAAGGATTCTGGACTCGCGATGACCCGAAATTCGTTGACCGTGTAGAGCGCGCCGCTGCATGTGTAAAGGACCTGCAGAAGTGTTTATCGCGACTAATGGTTCCGGCGCGCGATGAATCCCGCGGGATTACGTGCCCGCATTAAAGTTACCATTTAACTTGCTGCCGCCGCCGGAACACGTTTCTCACCTCCATTAATCTGCCCTCTCCCCAACCTTCGTCGTCCCTTCACCCTCCCTCTTACCACTCGCTCTCTCGATGACTCCACGACGGCTCGGCGCATATAACGCGTCCCGTCGCTATCGTTATTATCGTACGCGGCTATTATCGTTGTTATCGCCGCTATCATCGTCCCCCTTACTACCTCATCCGTGTATACTTTATTGTCGCACGCCGTAGAACGGAACTGGAAAATAGGAAAAACGAGCTTGTCGTTAACGGCAAGTTAATGCAGTTTCGAAAACCCATTATCGTTCCTCCTTAAGATAAATGTGAGGTTTTCGTTGGTTAGGGAAATTTTTATTTAATTAACAGTGCCGAGACACGTCCCGAATTGAAATTTCGATTTTCTGCGTTAATTCTGCACAATTAAATTCCGACTAACTCTAAAAACCAATGGGGAATCTTGAGAGATATGACATTATACATCTTCTTCCTTTGCTACGAGTGGTTATTTATTATCAATTTATTTGTATCAAAGCTTAAAAAAAGACTTGCTGATAATCTTTAAAATTATTCCAGGTCCTGAGCTATAAACATTATTAGAAACTGGATATTCAAATTTATTTAATATTCAATTATCTCGATATATATTCTATCTCTATTTAATTCATACATATCTTAATTTTAATTTCGGTTAGCAAAATATTAATTATGTATCTTACTTAACTATAGATAAATATGTGATAAACGAATGTATTAAGCAATCTAATAATAATAAAAATTAACATATAAGTATAATAATTTCACAATTAATTTTCATTTTCTGTTATTTTTTATAGTTATTATTGTTATTTTTTTCAAAAGAAATAAATAGCAGGAAAATGGTATGTTTTGGCTTTTTTATATATCTACCGAATTTTTTAAATATGTCCTTTTCGCGATCATCTTGGCGGAAATAAATACTCGATCATAAGTTCAATTCTTTTTGCGTGCCAGAAATTTTTATACAAACTTTTTAAATCAAACGTAACAGAATGAGAGGAAGAGAAAGAAGTCGAGGAGAGAAACGAAGAGAAAAACGGAGAAAGAGAGAGAGAGAGGAAGAAAGAGAGGTTGGGGGAGAAAGGGTTAGGGAGAGAGGGACGAAGGAGAGAGAGGAAAGGAAGAAAGGGATAGGAGAAGGGAGAATGAAGGAGAAACGCCATTATTTAAAAAAGAAAAAATTAAATATCCTTAGCCGTTCTTGTTAGCGACCATTTCTTTAACTTAAACATTTTATTAGGTTGTATTAGGTCTAATTAAAGAAAGCTATTTTATGACAAATTAAAAAATACTAATATTTGTATTGATATGAACAATTTCAACAGAATTTAAAGACACAGGGAAAAAGTAAAAAAAAAATTGGCAGGCTCAAAACAGAACTTATAGCCTAAGAAGTAGTATCGGAAGCACGCACATACACACGCACACACATGCATACACACAATATCCACGAGATTTATAGTAGATTCTAAATTTTGTCACGGAACGCAACGTTACTTATATTTGCGATTGAATAAGTACAATCGCTTTTCGAGTAAATTTCACCATAAATTCTGTTTCAATATCTAATTCAACTGGAAACTAAATTCTCGAATCTTTTTCGTTTGTTTTATCTTTTTTTATGTCTCGTGACATTATTCAATTAAAATTTGTTTAGTATTAACAATTGAAAATAAAACAGAAAAAGACTAGCGTGTGAACAATGGTGTTCCGATGTTCTCAAATTTTTTTCCAAATCTTATATCACAGATGGCATTATTATTGATATTTTCAGTTCAAATGCTGTGGTGCCTTGAGATTCGAGGACTGGCTCGTGAGCGAATGGCACAAAGACGAAGAGGTCCTTAAGAACGGCAGTGTCGTACCTGACAGCTGCTGCAAGACGCCGACGTTACTTTGTGGGAAAAGGGATCATCCCTCAAATATTCAATATACGGTACGTCTCTCACAAGTTTCTTTTCACAAGTTTCTTCAGCTTTTCTGGGCTGATTATCGGGTACGATATTAGCTCAAATCGAATGTCGCTTGATTTACTTGCATGCAATTAATCTTAAGAAAAAATCTTAGTCTAAGTCTTAATTTTAAGAGAAGATAATTTAAACTTTAAGCAAGAGAGAGAGGAGAGAAAGAGAGAGAGTATATCAAAAATTAATATAACCTTTTGCGTTTCTCAGGCTTTTGTCTTCTTTGGCATGTCGTTAATAATTATCTGACCATAAATACTATCTAGGTATAAATTCTATCAAACTAAATAATATCCGTGAAATGTCCATTTCCAATTTTTATGGAACTCGACATACTTGTAAAATTAACAAAATAAAAAATATGTATTTTTTATCGACTGAAACGCAAATTTTAGGAAATAAAATTATCCCACAATATTTCATCTCTTTTTTGAGATTTCAGTAATTATTGGAAATATAACTTTTTATACTTTTTGTGTCAAAGACTAAGGTAAACTCGGATAAAAGATAAATGTAAAAAAATATATTTCTTATTATTATTTCTTAATAGCGTTTGACATTTACTTCACTGAAGCCTACAGTACATAATACTATTAGACTTAAAAAGAAAATAAAATATAATTCATTGAAATTATTTATTACAAAAATATCAATACATGAGCATTGGCCATCTTACCTGACTTTTTAAAATAAAATGGCCATAACATTAAGGAATAGATGGCCCATACATATTTTATATTCAAGTTATACCTATTATTTTATAAAATAATGAAAAAAAACTTAATTTGATATGTTTATTTTAGTATAGAATATTTAATATATATTATTTATGAAAAATATAATATACATATAAAATAGAAACTTCTATTACAAAATTTTGTACTCCCAAGCTTTATTTTCAACCGTAAAATTGTTATTTTTATTGAAACATGATTTTTAGTTTATGTAGTTACATTGATGTAATTCCGCATGAAATATAAGTTTCTAATAGCTATTATAGTCATTCTTCCATTAGATAAGATGGATTAATTCACAAATTCAGCCCAAAAATTATGAACAATCTTCCTACAATCGTATATATTCGAACATTTTGCTAATATATCATGCAATCTACTACATTGTGATATTCTCCAAACATTCTCAGAATCTACCTGTGCTGAAACGCAAAGGGTTAAATATAGTGTATCACCGTGAGATACCACGAACCACAAAAGTCGTATTCGTGAGGATTTACGAGTCTTTACTTTGAACTTAATTAGAATAGTTTTGTTATCCCAAGCAAAATAACGAATTGCGAATTACAGAAAGCTCTGTAGATAAATCTAAATCCGCCACTTCTTCCTCAGGGCTGCATTTACAAGTTCCTGGAAACGACGAAGGACCACCTGATAATTCTGGGCGCTGTCGGGCTTGGTCTGTCTGTCCTCGAACTCTTCGGTATAGTTCTCGGCTCCTGTCTCTACATAAAACTCAGGCACGATTTCGATGACTGAGAATTGCTTCAATGCCGCGAAGGCAACAACAACGGCCAGTCGTGGTGTAGGTACATGCAAGACAACTCGGGAACTGTTTGATTATCGGAGTAGGGGCGGGAAGACGCGCAATTATGTGATCGCAAGACCATTCGGATAAAAAAGATCCATCTTTGACCGCGGACTCCTTTTTGCGACTCCCGCCTCTTACTCCTCCTCTTCGACCTCTCCCTCGTATTTTCGAAGAAGTATCAACGAGTTAAAACGACAGTAGCGAAGAAGAAACAATATCGTCTTCAGCAACTATTTCTTTTCTCGCATTTAAAACGAACGAATAATCGAAGAAAACAGCGAAAAATCGAGGATCGAAGAAGGAATATAAAAATCGATTCAGTATCCTTGGATCACGAAACGAAGGACTAAAAGCACTTTTTCATCGTTGAACATTTGCACATCCGGTCGAGTTTGAGGTTCGCACATCATCGATGATATGAGTCAATTCCTTCAAAAGCGGTGTTATTACAAGAGATAGACGTATTCAGGTAACCACAGAAAATTCTTTAAAAATTCATAAATTTTTATCTTTTTCTAGATTGTCATTCTTTAAAAACTTATAAAAAAATATTAAGAATACATTGAGAGAGATTCAGAGAATGACATGCACTATAATTGAAATTCCTGAGAACTTTTTAGTATATCCATATAAAATTATTCTACATCAACAAATATATACTTTGAGAATTCAGGAGGAATAATGTTTAAGAAATACAATTATAAAATAGCCAGTAAAAATTAATTTGATTATAATTAGTCTTTATTTTTTTAATTTTCTGTAAGTCTTCTTTAAAATGTTTTCTTTATGAATTTATATCTATATTTATGCTATCTATAAATACACTAGTTCCCATTAGTACAATTTTGGAAACTTTTCTCTTAATGCTGTTCGAAACAATTATTCAATGAGAAAATTTATGAGAATTAATCAAAAACAAATTTTCTTATTGGATCATCGACTGTGTATAGTTTGTTAATTAAAGGTAATACTTTTAAATGTAATACTTAATTGAAATACTTTTTCTCTATGAATAACATCCCATATCCAACAGAAACATTTATTTTTGTAATTCTCAGAAAATACGTGTTTCTATTACATGTACGCAATACGTTGCAAAACTCATTGAGGGAAAGTGTTGCTATATTTAATTAAGCCAATTGTGTCAAATTGCGTCGAGAAGCATCCAAACGATATTGAGAAACCGAGTATAAGAACATATAAGAAGACATATAAGAAAATAGAAAATCTGAAATTTTAAATATCTTACCAAATAACTCTTCTGGAATTATCCCTCTCTTTCCTGTAATAACATCGTTTTTGTTGTCATCTTGCAAAATACTCATAATATCTATAAGACGAAGCCTGGCTCTAGTGCCTCTCTTTCGAAGAAGCGGTTCCCCGTGAGAAATTGTAAAGATAATTTCGACAAACGATTTCGATAAGCAAACGTACACGATAAGTACATACATTTGCAGTTTACGCTGAACTAGTAAAATTATCTCGAACACGTATCTACATTTGTAATCAATACGATTAATAGACTATATATTCTCTAAATTACTTTCAGTAAAATTTCATTCAGAAAGTAGAATGACAACCAAGATACTGGAGTTTAAGTAACTTCTCACTCATATAGAGCAAATCCTTTACTTTGATTCGTCGAACGTATATTTTCACTTGAAATTGAAGAGTCAATATGTACAGCCAGTGTTGCAACAGTTTTATTTCAATAAATTTCAGAACTTGGTATCCAGAATTTGGTATCCAACAGAAATGATTTCTTTTAATAATTCTCAAAAGCATTAGGAAATATTTCGAAAAAACTTACATATTACAAATAATCTTGTCTTTGACATATGTTGTAGAGAATTTATTTCTAAATAACATGAGCTTTGAATCAAATGTGGCACTCACTTATAATTCCTAACATATTTTAAGTTTAAATATTTTAAATTAATAATATATAACTAAAAGTAATAATTCAATCTAATTTAGGAAAAATATGAATTTGTGAATGTGCTATGATTTTCCTCACGCAGATATTCTTTGTTTTTCGTCAACCTCCCAAAATTCTCGAAGGAGAAAACGTATGAATCATATATTACAATTAAACAATAGACAATTAATTTATTAGAAAACGAAATATTTTGCTAGGTCTTGCATAAGAATCATAACTGTTCTTCTGTATTGCAATTTTAGTGATATCTTTGAAACATTTAAAAGATATCCTACTTGTTTGAGATGTTTTTAAGATATCTTTGAAATTTATTTTAGAAAAATATCTAACCTTGAAGGATTAACGCTTTTTTTCATTGAATAAATAACATAATTTTAATTATCAAGATATCAAGATCAATATATTAAGATCAAAATCATGCCCCAGCTTTCTTATACATTTTCAACGTGGCTTAGAGATTACTAAATTTTAATTTAAAATATCTCAGAAAATATAACAAAAGTGCCATTTAATTCAAAATGTATTTTACTCAAGAATTAAAACTTTAATATTCGTTCAAATCTGACATTATTCGGATATTCAATTTCGGATATTCAGATAATCAGATATATCTGAATATTTGCAAGCCCTGTTAGAAATTAACACACATATAAAAATCAAGGTTATTCGAACTGTGGAAAAGTTTTCCTAAAGACTTATCGATAAATTTTCCTACTGGATACATTCTAAAATTCATCGAAATACAGTATTGGAACCTTTTTTCCAGTAATTGAACACGAACTGACAAAATAGCCTTGACCCAATGCAACTTTATTACGATTTTCTAACTATATACACGTTACATAGTTTTACGTTAATGTTCAGAAATGTATGTATACGATTATAAAATATTAGCAACCTAAAATTAAAAAAAAAGACAAATTCATGTAATTGATTAAAAAATGTTCACTTTTATAAATTAAAAATTTATTCTGAATTTATTTTAAATTAAATATTTATTAAATGTATACTAAATTAAATGTTTACTCTTGTGATTTTGAGTGGCAATATTATTGATTGTCTCTTTATGTGAATTTTCTCTCGTTTTGAGTGAGATTTTACTCCAGAAAAGAAATTTTGAAGGAAATTTTACTTGAAGAAATTGACTAAACCGTAAGTCGTTTTTAATTCTCGCCATCGATGGTGTTCGAATATTTCATGCGGTATTTTCTTCAGGACAAATGAAATTGCGCCTTTTTGTCATACAACGCATCGTCAATCGTGACGTTAAGTACACACTCTCTAATCTTTTCCGCCGAACGTAATATCTTACAAACTCTCGGAGTAATTTCGCATCTTGCGAAAGCGGCAACTCCACTCGATACTGCCATTACGAATTTGCACATTTTTAATCGCTATGTACAAAGTACAAATTAGCGATTATAACAAAGAACCATGACGAGAGAAATTTATTGTCACGTAATTTCTCCTAACGTAACGAAAAGATCTAATCGATCGAGTAACGTCGATTTTTCCGATCATCAGATCGCGCACCACCGAGTTTGATTAAGAATGTAATCCGCCGGAGCGATTCCAAATAAAATAAATGGAACGAGAATTTATACGGTACGGTGGGTAAACTCGATGACGGATTGATCTGTACTGACGTTAAAGTCAAATGCTAAAAAATCGACTCGGACCTCGGATAACTGTTAACAGTGCCTTTATGATATTATTAAGCTCAGAGATATTTTAAAATATGCGGAAAACAAATAGAAAAAGAAAAAAAGAGAAAACGTGTCATGGTAGTGTAAATTGTGAAAAAGGAACTAGCGGAGGAAAGGAAGACGGACTCTGACGCGTAATAAATTTTACGCGCGCGGCATGTATATATTTATCCGTTGCTTCGCAAACGAGTACAAGCCTTCGCACATTATTTATATAATGAACGCTTTCTTTCTTGTACAACGAGAACACACGCCGCCTCGGATCGGCAATTGTAAGCTACGAGAACAAAGTCGACGTGATCTTCAAGTTATATCGGACTTCAAATTCGTTGCAATTTTGTATTTTCCGCCAAAGACACGTCGACGATAATTACGCTCCTTTTTGCAATTGCAGATTCCGTCGATGTTGTGCTCGAGAAAAGTTTCCGGACATATTTTACTATTGTACCAACACATCATATATTATTTTCTTCTTAATATTATTGTCCTCTTTGCTATATATTATGTATACATATACATATATTATATATATTATCAATTAGCATTTAGGCAAACTTTATACATATTGTACATATCAAACGCTATTCTGTTACAAATAAATGTTTAAATCGTACCTTCCTTCGTATACCAATCCTGAAAATATACGGTGAATCCTTTTATATCCAGAATGCAGTGCAATATATAAATCGAATTGAGAGATAAACTCTGCAGCACATAACGAAGTATACGAAAGATATATGATTATTGTCTGATGTGTTCCTTTTTTCAGCATTTTGCAAAAATTGATCCCTCCGATCGCGCAGAAAAACGCTATCGTTTGACAATTTTCTCCATTCCTCAATTGTCATCTGGGAGACTGCACGTTATTCGCGTACTTCTCCATCGATTTGAGATGCATCAGTAACATGTCGTCATGCGTTCCAAGAGCAGCGAAAAGCCAAGCAAGCACCGCAAGAATATCTTTTGACAACATTATTTTCTGCCAACCGTCTAATTCGTTCAGAAAGATTTCCAGCGTCGTAGTCTGAAAAATTGTCGAATGCATATTAAGAATCCGATGTTCTCTTTAGGATGATTCGATTTAGCCACATAAAATAATACTGCGCGTCAAAGTATGAACTAAGAAAAAAAAAGTTATTTCGGTCAAATTGTTTTATAGTGTATATTCTTACATTCAACCATATGGTCTCGTTGATATTACAATAGTGCGTCAAAGCCAACTGATCGTCGACCCTCGACGATGCCTGATGAAGACTAAACGTCGCTAGATAAAGAGGAATTGCAATTACAGATCTCGCATGATCCGTGTAAATTTCACGTAGATGATCTGTACCAAGCCGCATTAGATCGAATCTGTATCAAATGTAAATTTTTTCTTTAATTAACATTGGATTAGCATTGGACATTCTTTTCTTTTTAAAATTATTGGACATACTTGTCGAAAATGGAGATGACGCAGACAGTTATTAAGAAAGAAAACATATTTGTGTATATTTCGGAAAAAATCGAATAATTGGACATGAACTCCATCGAAGTATTGAAGAAAACGTGCATCTGCAACGTTAACAGATCATATTTATTAATATTGCCAGTATAACCAAATATATTTACATTAGAGTCCTTAGCAAGTACTGCTCGGGTATTCGAATATATGAAATCAAAAAAATTTTTTTAATAAAACATATTTATAATTAAATCATTAGGAATTACTAACAGCAATATTTTCATTACTTAAAATAAATAATTAATCATTGACTTATTAAATTTCTGTAAGAAAAGTAGTCACTTTACGAAATATTTAGTTTTTATATTAAAATTTGTCAACATAAGATATGAAAACAATAAAAAATGTAAAATGAAAATTAAATAAAAATTAAATTAAATTAAAATATATTTTAATTAATTAATAATTATAGGGAGAGACAGGAAGAGACAGGGAGAAACGGGGAGAGACGAGGAGAGACAGAGAAAAACGGGGAGAGACGGGGAGAAACAGGGAGAGACGGAGAGAGATGGGGTGAGACAGCCCTTATAGAAATATCATACTCATATTGATAATTACTTATTTTCAGTATTAAAAATACTGGATAATAAGTAATTATCAATGATTCTTAGTATGATATTTCTATAAGGGAGGGAGAGGCAGGGAGAGACAGGGAAAGACAGGAAGAGACGGGGAAAGACAAGGAGAGACAGGGAGAGACAGGGAGAGACATATCTTTTCTGTATTTTTTTTTCATGACATAACCAACGTGATGACAGCTATTTGCTTGAGGCGTTTTTTCGTTTTGTGACCACGATACCGTTTGGTTGGTTGGTTTGGTCCATTTAACGCTCGCAACGCCTCGAGCAACAAAGATAGAATAACGCTCGTGCGTTGCGAGCGTTAAGTAGATCAAACTAATCAACCAAACGCTACCGTGGTTACGAAACGAAAAAACGCCTCTAGTAATTTGACAGATGCAAACGACACGAAGCAAACTGCAGCCCACACGAAATGAGCTAAGCAAGAGAATCAATCAGCATCGCGGAAAAGCGGCAACAATTAAATCTCTTACATGCAGAAAAGTATTACTAGTTTATCAGTAATAATTATTCTATCAGTAAATATTCTATCAGTAAATATTCTAGAAGTAACACCTCCTCTTCATTTTTGACGAAAATAACTTTTTTGCGAAAATAATTTTTTGAAAAAATAAAATAAAATAAACTTTCGTATTACTAGTATGAATTGTATCATACCTTGTCTTCCTAAAGTTGTGTGCAACGATTACAATCTTTATTTATATTTTATATTACACATGCAATTTTTATTAAATTTCTATTCATATTATATTTTTAATATTTCGCAAAATCACAAAGTGCTCGTAAAAAATAAAAAAAGACACTCACCATTACAAGATGCAGAAGCGCCATTCCGCCTAAGAGACCCTGAAAAACACGTCCAGTAGATTTCCAAAAGTTCTGGACCGTAATTGCTACTCTTATCAGCGTGTGCGTTCGAATCTTTGTGATATCGCGGCCTTCTTCGCTTGCCACCCCGCCTTTTGTTGCACGCGTCGTATCATTTTCCAAAGCACGTCTCAACCCGCCAATTTTCACGGCGCTAAAGCCATTCTTGCCTTGAATATAAATCGTGTCCGTAGTCAATTCCGGAAGCGGTACAGGCTCCACGTACTTTGTGCGTGCATTTTCCTCAGCCTTCTTCAAGATCTCCGTGATGGGTACCTCGTTGTCCGCTTGCATAGAAAATCAAATTAATGTGGTCATAATTACTGAAAATTCATACATTATAGACAAAATAAATTTTCATCGATTCTTCGGATAGGGAAAACGAGATTTAAAAGTCACATTATAGTCAATTGTTATAAAGCTTATATCTCAATTGATAAACATACATTTGATAACATATTTTTCTCTACAGGATATCTCACAATACATGACACACTCATTTCGTGTATAGATAGAACTTATCAAACTGATCATATAATTTCTCTACTATTTTGTAAACAACTACGTCAAATTTTGAATTATTAGTTAAAGAAAATTAGTGAATGATTACGTACGATACAGTAAATAAGCTGTAATGGCATCTACCGTTATGTATTTGTACGTTATGTATTTGTACATTAGGGGAAATCAAACTAAACAAAAAAGATTTCTATCATTTTGCAAATAACTATAAATTTTTAGTTACTAATTGAAGAAAATTGATGCATAATTGTGCGCAATAATGTGCTAATTTTTTTAATAACTAAAAATTTACTTAGTTATTTGCAAAATAGTAGGACTTTTTTATTCAGTTAGAGTTAATGCATAAGCATACAATGTAAATCATACATACCATCACACTTTGTACCGTATTCCGCGCGATCATTCACCAATCTTCTTTAATTAAGACTCCTGACCTCTCGCATTGTCTATCTCTTTTTAATGACGTCAGAAGCAAAACATGCATGCTAAAAATTCTTGCGAAATACATTGAAATAAAGATATATATCTATAAAATGACATTTGCAATTGATTAATTAAATTTGTAAGATATTCCGTGCACTATATATCTATAAAATGACATTTGCAATTGATTAATTAAATTTGTAAGATATTCCGTGCACTATATATCTATAAAATGACATTTGCAATTGATTAATTAAATTTGTAAGATATTCCGTGCACTTCCTTTTTTGCTTTAACAATCAATAATTTATTGTAAATTAACCTGAATAGAAATAGATTAAAAAAATGAATTGTATGTCACGTTAATTTACGACAAATTATTGTTAAAGCAAAAGGGGAGTGCGCGGAATATTTTACAAATTTGTTTAATCCGTTGTGCAAGTGTTACTTTATGAATATATATCTTTATTTTAACATATTTCGCATTTTCTCGCTTCTGACGTCATTAAAAAGAGATAGACAATGCGAGGGGCCAAGAGCCTTAATAACTCAAAATTTACGTAATTATTTTACGTGGTAAAACGCATAAATAGCGCATAATTATATAATTTCGCTGTTAAATTTACAATAGGAGAATTAGCTGAGTAGACGTGAAAAGTGTGACAACCACTTTCGGTCTCCCCTACCGCGTAAAAAGTTTTCTTTCCGCATTACCTCGACTAACGTTTTTCTTCTTTCTTTGCGATTTATCGGTAATGCTACTTTCTCCGCTATGACGTCTAGGGGATGATCGGTTGTCGATTCGAGTGCGATAATTGTCATTTACCGTGCGAGATCGTTCACCGAGTCTCCGTCTTTCGGTTTGTTTACTGCGCTTCCTCCTTCTTCCCAGCGACTTTGAAGCGATCCTGTCTTCGCTCGCGCGAACGTCGGAGTAACAGACCTTCCCGCGTAAGTGCTTCTCGATTTTACGAGCCTGATCGTTACTCCTAATGTCCGAAGACTCGGTCTCTGTATCTTCGGTGTTGCGTTGTCGTCGAAGAAAATTCTGAGATGTTGAATAGCGAGTTCAATGTTCGATATAACGCATTTTCTTTTTTATTTTTTTTTTTTTTATATGCGATGTCACTCAATCTGGCGTAGTACAAAACGAAGCAGTGTGTATGTCGACATAAGATACATTTATCGGTCGAATAAAATTGATTCATCATAAAAAAGACTCGCACTCTTAAAGTTCGCGAATTATCTTTACAAATCAGTTTTTAACTTACAAGGAGACAAATTAAATAATACAGAATAGAATCCAATCAATCGCGCTATATATATAATCGACCTGATACAAACTGTCTTAGTTTCTTGGCTGTACAGTCGGCTTGAATCTTCTGAGCTAGTCCATCGCTTCTGCAATGACGCGCTACCACCTTTTGCATAGCTATCATTGTCCGCGGCACGAACAGCAACGGCATCATTCTCACTGTCGTTTCGCTCGAACGATTTAGCGATTTCCATGGATCTTTGCTCGTGAGAATCTCGATTTCGGCGTGTCATTTTAACTTCTGTCACATCGATTCAATCGTCTCATCAATCTGACGACCGACTCAATTTCGTACACATACGAGTTCTCTTTATTCAAATACTCGCAATAGGAAACTAACGGATGCATCAAAATTCCTTTCAGCATGTTTAACTTCTAACGTTCAACCTCACAACTAACCGATAACCCTACTGTTGCGATCTGTCCGGGATTGTCGCGAACCATAGTAACGCTTTGTTGTCATTACGAAGCTCTGTGGAGACCGGCTTGAAAAATCGATGCGGTAAAAGTATCAGTTGCTGACTATAGAATTTTGTTGCTTCGCATAGAATATTCACTTATATTTAGTTTCGTATTTACATAATTTTTTTAAAGTCACGTAATTTTTTTCTAGTGTCACGTAATTTTTTAAAATTAGTATCGCCAGACAACACAAATATCCACAATACATCTTAAAAACATTTTAAGTAGATCTAAAATAAGTAGGATATCTCTCATTTATCTAATTTTTTTATATGAATTAAAATATAAAAAATAGAAATTTCCAATAAAAATGATAAGTTCAAATAAAGTATTTCAATGAAATTTATATATATTTCTATCAATTCTTTTACTGGATTTTTTAAAGCTGCTTAAGCACTTTAGTAAAATATTTGCTAAAATCATTTTGACAAAATATTTATTTGACAAGAATTTTTAACGCGCGCGCCTATTTTCTTGCTTCTGACGTCATCAATCAAGAGTTCCGCGGCGAGGGGCTAATCTTAGTTTTGAGTTTTTCAATCAAATTGTGATTACAATTATGTCACGTACGAATACATGATTATTAATAATATGATTATTATATAATTATATGTTTTTTTTTATATGATACATAATGCGTTATATTCCTAAAAAGTCTGTTAATTACACTGTTTATTACACTGAATGATGTTTTTACACAGTAGCTGTATACAACTTATATATAAAACATTTACAAAACATAGTTCTTCTTTACTACTAACTGAAGCACTGTTTTTATTTTGAAAACCTAAAAAACTCTTATAATAATAATAACAATAATGATTGTATATATATATATATATATATATATATATATATATATATATATATATATATATTACTTCAGTTGAATAGTATTTTACATTTGTTTTCATCTAAATTTAATTTAAGGAATCGTGTCAATAGATACTTATAGAATTTCTAAATCACAATGTCGTATCTCTGGATGATTTTTCTGGAAATAAGAATTACAAAAATTACACACTGACATTTTTAGATATAATTACTAATTACGAATTTAGGAATTACTAACAAAATTATTATATAACTCGTGGATAATTTTGCGCTTACCTTTAGTTTTAATTCTATTCTATCGATCTCTCCACCTAGCATATCCACAATATTTTCACCGTGTCTTAATAAGAATGCTTCTAATTCATCAATATTCTGCATGCTCTTCACTTCCTACATAAGAGGTAAAACATGATTCGTTTATTGTAATTAATATTGCTATCAGGATTGAAAGTTTTTAAACAATAACACGTTACCACGCAACGTTATTCGTTATTGGAAAAAATGGTAACTCGTTAGCGTATTATTTGTTACTCTTAAAAAAATAACTTGTTACCGTCATTGTTACTCAAGAAATAACGAATCGATACAAATTTGTTACTTTTTCACAAAATTTTAAAGCTCTTTTTTTGTTTCTATCTATTTTATGTAATCAATATGTCCAAACATTGCGAATCTAAGTGTTATTTTTACACGCATAAACATCTAAAAATAACATGTTTGACTGAAGTTCTTTCTGCATGTTTTCGCTTTTAAGTTGTGTTATTTAACACATTAAACATATTAAATTATAAGTTAATATGTTTAAACATGTTAAATGACGTAATTTAAAAGGCAAGAAATGTGTAAGAAGAGCTTCAATCAAAATAACAAACTTGGATTTACAATGAAGTGACGATAAAAGTGTAACGATTATATTCGTTACCGTTATTCAACAAATGTAATTGCGTTATTGTTACTAATAAACGAAAATAATAATAATAAATATAGTAACAAATGTCGTATATATAATAATATAATAATAAAAATAACAATTCGTTACCAAGTTGTTACGGAAAAAAGTAATTTATAACGTGTTACAAGTGATACGTTATTTCCCAACCCTGATTGCTATACTATTTTGAGGAGAAATGGAAAAATAATATTAATACCTCTAACATCGTGATAAGATCATGTTTGTCCAGATAAGATCTTGTCAGTTCCCGTCCATCGAAATCTAATTCAGCTTTATATCTCACTAGATTATTACCCATATCAATACCTTTTACATCGTGTATAGCGCGAACCTAAATTATATGCGAAAAAATATAATTATACAGAAAAAAAATCGTAAGAACAATGCATAATTGATTTTAAAAGCAACATTACCATTATATCAGCTTCTAATTCAGCATTGATCTTATCGAGATTCTCTTGCGATATACTTCTTCCCACGAGTGCGGCGACGTTCGAATAAATAATGAAAGACGCCACTCCGCCAAGGAGGCCGCCAACTAGGAGCGAACCGATAGCATCAAACATCGGATTTCCTAAATACGAAGTCAAGCCCATACATCCAGCCGCACCAATGACACCGAGTACCTGAATAAAATCAAAATTAAACATTTAATCTCTTATTTTTTAGTATATTACCTTCTGTACATTTAGATTATAATAATTATTTTTCAGAACAATAAAACCTGTCTTCTAAAATCTTTAATAGTGCTTTTCTTTTTGGTATCAATTTAAAATAAAATTATAAATTATGAAAGTTATAAGTTACAAGTTATATGAGAAGTTAAAGATAGTCTAAGGACACAACTTACAGCTGCAAAATCCTCCATAAGCACAACATTCACGGACGGATCCTGCCCTTCCAAGACGTACTGCTTGAAGCTCTCTTTCTTCTCTTCCGCACCTTTTCTTATAGAGTGCAACGCTATCATCAACGTTGCTCCTTCGGACAATAAGGATCCACCTAAGACAAAGTACGCCCAGAAAAGGGAATCGAGCGGTGCAGGAAACAGGAGCCCATGTATACCGTGATATACGGAGAGACCTGTGCCGACGCAAAAGATTCCCACACCTGATATTAGCGAAGAAACATACTTCATGTTTGTGTAGCCGTATGGATGGTCGGGATTGGGATTCTGCAAAGTTGTTCAAATAAGAAAAATTGCGAAAACTCGTCAAAATAGACGCCAAAATCTTTATAATTATTCACCTGCACTGATTTATGAATACCATATGCTAAAATCAACTGATTACAAGTATCCGCCGCGGAGTGAATGCACTCGGAGAACATACTGTGCGAGCCGGTATATAACCAAGCGATTAATTTACAGAAAAAGTTACTGGCGTTTCTAGGAAAAAAAAATGATGAATTAATTAAAGCAATGTGTAATTACACGTACAATCGTTAGCATAAAGTTTGCAACGTTATTTCTTGAGTTTATGTATACGCAAATTTAATAAGACTGCGAACCTCGGTGCACGAGCTTAAATATTGAGAGGTTTGCGAACTATCAAATTTTTAAGTACGAGATTTAAACAATTATAACAGCATCAACAGAACAAGTTACAAATAATTAATTACATATTTAATTATCGTATTTAATTAAAAATTAGAACATGGGCCAATTCAAGATTGACTGATAATTGATTTCAACAAATTCAACCGAAGACCGTTCAATTTATTTCAACGAATTAAAAACTATTCAATTAACAATTGAGTGGAAGGAATCAAAGATCGTTTAATTAACGAATAAACTTAACAATTTAACTAAAAGTCGTTTAATTGCTGATTGATACGAGCAAAACTTAATTGAAAACTATTTGGTGACGTTTGATATAACCGAAATTCAATCGAAAATCGTTCGTTGACGATTGCTAACATCATTTTGAACAGGAGGAATTCTAGAGTAACTACAACGCACAAGATAGTTGTAAATATGGCAAAAAAAAAATTTGATGGATTTTACTACCTGTCACAAAGATCTTGTGACTCAATCGAGGGTGACTGTTATGGATTTCGCAAGTCGTCTGAAGGAGAAGTCTTGCACTCGTGCATCTTTTGTGTAGAACATAACCCTCGGTCACAATTATGATATTCCTATCTAGAATATCGTGGAAAATGCCAATAATTGAAAAGCTCTAAGTAGGAACCGCGTTAAGGAAATATACATTGTCATCGGACAGTTTTCAATTGAACTTACTCATATTAAAGTCAATTTAAACAATCTTTTATTTTATTTTATTTTATATATTTTATTTTATTTTTTAATTAAATTTAATTGTTGAACAAATGAACAACTTCTAATTCTCTTCGTTCATCAATCCCTTCATTTACATTAATCATTAATTGAATCAATAGTCTTTAATTGAATTTATCGAAATTAATCATTAATGAAACAAATTTCAATCAATTTGCTCTAATCAATCATCAATTAATTGAATTTGCTCAAATCGATTATCAAATTTAAAAAAATTTGACATATATTGAATATTGAATTTGCTCAAATCGATTATCAAATTTAAAAAATTTAACTTATATTGAATATTGAAGCAAAAGTGTAAATATTATTATATTGCATAAATTTATTTATATTCCAACATGACTGAAAGTATACGTTAGATACGCACATTGCTATTGCGGTCAATACCACTTTACCGGATCTTCCAAAAAGACCTTCCCTTTGTATTATCTCCGTCTTACTACCGATCTCTCGTCTGTAATCCCTCAACCTTCGTTTGACCGTAAAAACATCTACAATGAAAAATTCAGATATTTAATTAAAATAATCTTTTTATTGATTATATTTTATCAAGAAAATATTTCTATCATGATATAGACAAAGAAAAAGAGTGAGAGAATGAGAGGGGCAGAGAGAGAGAAGGAGAGAAGGGGGGAAGGGAAAAAAATGTATCATCTATCAAATCATATATCATTTATAGATGATATATCATAGATTTTGATATTGATACATAATAGATTTATCACAAAATATATACTCTCATTTATATATTATTCACATATTTACTTTGTTGGTAGATTTTTCGCTCAACCTCTTTCTTTAAAAGTTCCTTCAGCAAAGCCTCTCGTGATCCCCACACTTCTAAAGCTCTGTAAATAAATAAAACATTAATGATAAATTAAATTAAATTAAATTAATTAAATTGTTACCTCACAACTAAAAAATATACAACATTTATCAAATCAATAAAGCTTCTCTCTCTCTCTCTTACTTAGCCTCAACATCTTTCCTCCAATATACTGTGATAGGTGGCTCCAGCTCATATGGAGAACGTCTTTTAGTTTTTGGTAAGGTCTCCAAATCAGTGAGCTTCAATAAAAAATCTGACATGGCTCTTACAGGTGTAATAAAGTTACGTTCCAAAGAAGATGTCGATTTATCAACTCTGATCCTCTTTTTTGCTACAAAATAAAAAAATTAGGGTTAAAAATACCAGCTGGTACTTAATATTATACCTTTTTTCAGTGTAATATCATCTTTTAATGACTCTTTAGACTCTGTGGACTGCTTTTCTGTAAGTTTTGCTGTTTCTTCTGTCTCTTCTTCTTTCTTATCAGCAGGAATAATTGGTTCTATGTCTAATACTCTTTCTTTTAATTTACCTAGTGTTTCTTCATTTAACTCTATTATTCGCTGCTGAGAATCTTCAGCTAATATTTTTTCAGACTTATCTTTCTTAGTTTTTGTATCATCAGATAAAAATCTTGTCATATAAATCCATCTCCAATCATCATGCTTATCTACTTTTCTATTAATAAAAATTTTTTGAGCACTCGTAAACTTGCATACTTTGTATCGGATGCCACACTTGGGTATTATAAAAATACTGGCATGTCTTCTGATTAATCCAATCTGGAATACACACAGCTGATCGACATGACATCGACTTGCGTTCCGAATAAAGTTCAAAAGATTGTAGGAGCGATGCAACATCGTAATCCTTTTCTTTTTCCCTTCTTATAAAGATATATTGTTATACATCACCTAACCTATAAAAAAAAAGACTTAGAAATGTATTATTTGAAAATAAAACATTAGAAAGTGTGTAGTGGGTGTGATTATACATAACAAATAATAAAAGAACATAACAAGAAAGACATCTTACTTTTATAATTTGTTAAAATTGTAATGTGAAATAGAAATGTAATAAACTTCTGAAGACATACAAGTATTAAAAAATTTACCTTACTACTAAGTTATCCTCGTTACAATAAACACATTGTTAAGCAGCTATAATACTGACATCGTCTTAACAATAGATTAATAAAAAACGAATAACTGTCTAATACTTCGAACTATCAATAACCACATTCGCCGCAGAACAACCACTACATGAATTGTCGGTAAGGAAGTATCCGATAGTATGATCAGAGAGAAGTTTCTCTCTAGTTAGAATGCTAGAAAGAAAGAAAAGAAGATCGCTACATTTCGTCGCTATATAACAAGTTTATATAACCTGTCATACTCGTCAACTTTTACGATTAATATGTCGCTTGCGGAGCAGAGCGACAATTTTAACTTTCATTTTCGGTTTTTACGTATAAACATACACAATATTATTGAGTTTCAGCCAAATCAGAAATGAAAGAACTTTAAACTATATAATTACTATTTCTTTATTTTTATAATGAAATTACTTTGCTAGTAATTGAAAAACGATCAAGCTATGTCACAAGTTGAAACAAAAGTAAACTGTTATGTCACACAAGTAAATGTTATGTATATCACACAATAACTTTTAAGAAAATATAAAGTAAAATCTTCCCATAAATTAAAAAAAATGACACAATTAAAATCTCAAATATTTAAGTTTTCCAACAAAATCAATTTACTTGTATTTACTTGTGTATTTATTTTAACACATTATTTTATTTATTTCTAAGGTGAGGTTATTTGATCACTAATTGAAATACTTATTAAATTTTGTGTTTACAAAAATATGAATTTAATTTTATATTTGCATATTTCCATATGGAATGTTTATACATTAATATAAATGTATAACAAATATATATTCACTTATAAAATATAACGGATACATTATCAATCATAAAATATAAAAATATATATATTTTATAGTTAACAATTGTTATAAGAAAAATTCTATTATGTTAACTGTATACATGAAAATCAGTTACGTAAATTGTATTGATAAAAATTAATTTTTTTTATTATATATATATATATTTATATATATTTATATATTTATATATTTATTATATTGATAAAAATTTAAAAAAATTAGTATTTAAACTATGGACACATAAATAAATGTGTTTTTATAAGGAATTGACTATTAAAAGAAAGATCAAGCATTTTTTAGCTATATAAGAAAAAGAAATAGTTTATGTATGCTTCTGTATACATAACATACACATTTTGTCTTTTATATACAGGGTGTTCGGAAAGTACCGGGACGCCCGAATATCAGGAAAAATATAAGTTTTACAAAAAAATGTTTCAG